GAAGGTGTCCTGGAGGCAGTGATGTCTTAGCAGAGAGCTGAAGGATGACCTAGCCACACAGTGCCAAGGAAGCTGGATGGAGGGATTACCAGTTTTGAAGACCAGAAGGAACACGGCAGCAATTCAGTGTGGCTAGAGCATGGTGTTTGATTGCCGTGGGGAGAGGCAAATGGGGATACAGAAGAACGGGACCATATGACCGTCTCCACAGCAGGTTCATATTTCCCCAACTGAGTGGATTCTCATGTATGTTTGGAAGGGGTTCTGCTGGACAGTATTGTCCTCCTTAAGGGGTCTCCGTGCATGACTGTACAGATTGTGCCCAGCATGAAGGCCTGGCGTGGATAGTACGGCTAACCTTTTACTTTGTGGGTCACCTCATCTTGGGCTTCCAAGATTGACCACCCATGGTTGTCTCCAAACCTGTCTCCAACCCTATACCCTGACCCTCCCTCCACCTCTAAAAGGTTCATGCTGTCTTTGGATTGCCTCGTACTTCCAGTCTGATTTGCAAACGTGTTCTTCAGATCTGGGAGATATGGCAGCATTTGTGGCCATTCCACTGATGACATCTCAGAGGTTAGTCTTGCTTTCCTGTTGACACATTCTTGGGCATCCCTGCACTGCTCTCACAGAGGACCTTTGGGGAAGTGGGTTTGAAGGGTTGAGTAGTGGTGCTAGGGAGTGAGTGATGAAAGGCCTGCAAGAGGAGTACCGAATGGGGAAAATTGTTGGAAATGTGGAGGGAGAAGCAGGATGTCCCCTGGATCTTGAGGCCTGAGTGGGATTTCTCTAGTGGTAAGGGAAGGATCTGGACGCCTGGGGGACTGTTGAGAATATGGACCATTAGTTCTGGAGAGTTAATCTTGATTTTGGTTTTGCATGAATGAACTATGAGGGCATGAGTCTTCTTCATTCTTTAACCCTCTTGATTTGGCCATGCATTATTTGGTAAGCTCATTCGTCAAAGGAAAAGGGCAATTGAGTAAAAAGTCACTGGTGCCGGCTCCGCTGAAGTCTGGACAAGTTTGACCGTGGATCTGGCATTTCTTCCACCTCTGGAATCTTAGAAACCAGTTTCAGTAATAGCAAATAGAGGTAAGCCCAGGGCTTATGCTCTGACTTCCCCAGGGCATCCTGGCCTACCTAGAGCCTCTCAGATCCGGTGGTGGCAAGAGATTTTATAAACCTCCTAAGTACAGTGTCTATAATTTAAAATTTCAGTAATGCTATGTCCTGAACAAGTTGGCACAACCAAATCGTGGCATCCTATAACTGAGCAGTTTCTGAGAGCCAAAATTTTGGAAGCATGCCGTATCTGTACCAGCTTGTTGAGGCAAATTGATAGATTATGGAGAATGTACTTATAAAGTAGCTGGTACTTCTCTAATGGAAAAATCTCCGTGAAGTCAGAATGCCCAGAGCTGTGTCCAGGATGTTCTGGCTCTGCTACTTTGTACTACTGGACATTTTGATTTCCCTAGGACATCTGACTCTATATGGATGAAATATTTTTTATCAAAACTATATTATTATTAAGATTTTTTTCAAGAAAGAATTGCATGAAGTGAATGTCATTGTCAATTTAATTTCCTGATTTTCTATCCAACATAATAAAATTGCCCCCCCCCTTTTTTTTTTAATTTTTGAGAGAGAGAGAGAGAGACAGAGTGCAAGGAGGGGAGGGGCAGAGAGAGAGAGAGGGAGACACAAAATCTGGAATAGGCTCCAGGCTTTGAGCTGTCAGCGCAGAGCCTGATGCAGGGCTCGAACTCAGGAATAACGAGATCATTCCCGGACGCTTAACCGACTGACCCACCCAGGTGCCCTGCCTCTCATTTTTATATTAAATTTTTTATTGTATCGATTTTTTCCCCACGGGATCAGTTCTTTTCAATTTAAATTTTACATTGAAGGTTTTATATATCAAAAGTTGTTTTGTTGAAATTTTACCAGTTATCACTTGTGCCACTGTGGGTATTCTTTTGTGGCAATTGTTTCTTAATCTAATTTTCCCAGGTTAGCTTTTACCATTCTCAGTTTCACTGTGAATAGTTTTAAATACTGCAGTTTAATTGTTAGTATTCTTATGAACTATATTCATTATTAATTGGTTGAAAACAATTGTTAGTTTATATTTATTTCTAAAGATAGTCCCTGATAAATAATCTCCAGTTTTCCTTTACAGATTTGGGATTATTTGATTATTCAGACTATTTCTATAGAATTGCTAATTCAGTGACTTTGCAGAGAGCAAAATATCTTGCTTTGTTTGGGCTGAGCCTAGAATAATGACTACCTGTATGGTAGCAACCAACATAGATTCAGCAGTTCCAGATCCTGTCAAAAGCCTCCTTAATGACCACTAAATCGCCACATTTAGAGATGCCCAACTCAAGATGTATTTTCTTAATTTGTTTCTACTGGAATTTTTTCTCTTAAAACATCCTTTTTTTTTTTTTTTTTTTTTTTTTTTTTTTTTTAATCCAGCCTCTTGTAAGTTCTATAATTTCTCATTGTTGGCAACTGATTTAGTTGGATGGAAAAAATATTCTGTTAATCCTTGCTCTGTTCTTATTTCATCTTTCAACCTGGCAAGCAACTCTTGGTGAATAAGCATCATTAGAAAAAAAAAAAAAGAAAGAAAGAAAGAACATCCAACTCTTATTATTTCTTTACAACCAAGAATCAGATTCTAGATATTCTTGTTTTCGTTTTGACTGGGAGCATTGATGCTAACAAGTATTTTTTCCAAGAGGTATTACAAAATGGTCAGTTTTGTGTGCTCTTGGAATAACCAATTTGCAATCGGCTACTACACTAAATAGGGCTGAGGTCATTAAGTCATTTCACTACCAGCCTGGATTCTCTAACCCATAGCCCAGGAAAGCAAGAAGTAGAGAAAATAGACTGTAACAAGCAATCATTTGTGTAACACTTTTTAAACTAGAGTCTTAAATAATTCTTCAAAATGCCCATTTTGGTTAGTAATTAAAGCCATACTTTGTGTTCCTTTCAGACTGACTTAGTTAAGACTCTGTTCTGTGTTTAGCCACTTACCCAAAAATTCTCATCAGAGAAATTTATTGCTTATTTGGAAGCAGCATGCCATTAAGGTAGCATACTTTCTATTAGTCCATTTTTCTTTAAATTTAAACTCAAAGGGCATGGGGAAAATAATTGAAAACAGACTGTAGTAGCTATCAGATTTGTGAGAAAAGATCACAGTGGAGCTTACAACCTTAGAGATGTTGGTTATCCATGATGGAAAAGAACACCTTGCTCTCTGATTTTACCATTCTCCATTGCTTTTGCTTATAAATGCAGGTGGCAAACAATACAACTTACAAAATTGAATTGTTGCATCAACGTTTGGGTCACAGGTTCCCTTGTAAATAAAGGTCATTTCCTATAACCTTGACTTTATTGCCTCCCAAAAATGGTTTCCTCCACCAGGCCCCAGGCACTGTGTTAGAGCAGATCCGCTTCTCTGGGAATATAAGCATGTACTTGATGACTGGTTTCTATTAAGAGAGAACTCAACCCCATAGAATTACCAGTGTGGCATTTGAATTTCTACAGAGCACTGAGAATCCTGTGCAGGCAAAGGACACTGGATATTCAGGGTTAGTGAATGTTGAACAGAATCTCAGAATGTATTGGAATGTAACATTTATTTATTTGACATAAAAGTTTATTTCCTCCTGACTTTCTGAATTGTAAACAATGAAGAATTTCCTAAGTTGGATCTCACGATTCCTGTCCTAAACGGCAGGCAGTTTCCTCCCACCTGTACCGGTTACCTCTTTTCCCCCAGCTGCTTAGAGCTTTCTTGCTGCAAGGATGGTATTTACTGGCTTGTGTTAACAAAGATGTTGGTAATTTTAAATTTCTTTGGCTTGTGGCTTGTGACGTTATTATCCCACGCTGTGTCTGTTTTCTTTCAGATTTTAGATTTCTGACATTCCAGGGGGTCTTTATGGACTTTTTTTTCCCTCTTTGCTTCTCCTTTAGTAAAATGTAGAAAATAATATTCAAAAGCAGTCCCTGGGAGCTTTGGAAAAGCAGTAACCACAAATCTCCTAGGCAGTTTAGATCTTTGGTTTCAGATGAGTCTTAATGAAGGAGATATGCATCATAATCAAGATTAAGTTCAATAACCTCTTTTATTGTCTAAAAATGACAAGCCAAATTACTTCAGCTCTGACCAGGATAAGAATCCAAATACCTTACTAAAATAAATACGAACCAGCAGTGTCAGGATGGGGGTAAAGCAAGTGAGGCCCTTGCCTAGGGCACAAAATTTAAGGACGCCTCAAGAAAAACAACCAAAAACTCCCAACGTCTCAGTAATCAAGATAAATGATATTTTAATGCAGTATTTTTTAAATTAATGCAAAAATTCATGATGAACAAAATATCAAAGTTTTAAAATAGGATCTACAGTAACAGTGCCTTACCAAGCCATACCGGGGTCTAAGACAAGAGGGAAAATCAGTAATACTGATCCTGTATTTATGTAGAATTTTGATTTGTTTATCACAGAATTTTTGCATTAATTTTCATTTATTTAAATATTGCATTAGAATGTTATGTATCTTGATTACCGAGCTTCCTGGTACCCCCTTAACTTTTGCACCCAAGACAAGTGCCCCACTGAACCTCACCCTAGCCCAGGCCCTGCTAACCAGAATGGCGGTGGTTAGGGAAATGAGGTGGCATATCCTCTCCTGTCAAAATGTTAATTTGGAGTGTGGGGATGCAGGTATGTATAGTTATGTTGAAGTCTAGTTATCATCCTTGGCAGCCAACATCCATCATTTTAGCTGTGGTTTGGCTGTAGTCTCAATTAGAAGGCATTTCCTAAATCCAAAATTGGAAAAGTTGTCTTTTTGTTAATTCCATCTGAAGGTATTATCAAAATCCGTTACATCTTAAAAAAGAAAAAAAGAAAAGGAAAAAAAAAAACCTGCTTAAGAAAACTTCTCTAGTTCAGTTCATCAAAAGTTTCTCCTTCCCCGGTAGTTTCCTCTGGCTCTTTCCCTGTTAGTCTTGGCAGGAGAGGGCCTGTGAGGTTTCTTTCGGTATTCCACTTTTGTCCATCCTCCTTCGCTGACTCTGCTCTCCTCTTCACTGGCTCTTGAGTCTGTCTCTGTGTGCAGAGGCATCCCCGGTATGGTCCTGGACCGGTGGCAGTCATTTGGACTTCTCTTAAAGTCAGGCGACTGGTGAGTATTGAGTGCTGACTGAGAAACCCCGTAGAATTTTCCAGAATATCTTTCTCTTGAAGGAGTGGAATGCTGACTTTTCCCACTGTACCTTCCCCTAGGAGAAGAATTGAGTGATGCACTACCACGATCATACTTGTTTTTGCTTCTCTCTGAGTACCGACCCCTCTCTAAAGAGTTGTCACTTGGAAGACTGGAAAAGCCACTGTCTCTGGAGTTGAGATGCAGAGAAGTTAAGTTTTTGGTCAGTCCATACTGAGTAGGAGAGGAGCTTCTGGATTGGTTTATAGGTGTAATCTGTTGATACTTAATGGGCACCTGGGTCCGCCTTACGGCAGCAGCATAGGAATCCTGGTCATTGAAATATGGGAAGAACTGTGACCCCAGAATAGGATTGCTCTGAGAACGTTGTAAAGAAGTATCGGATGCAATCTGCCGCATCCTCAGAGTATCCAGCCACTGGCGATCAGCACCTGCAGAGGAAATGGAAATGAGCATCTTTTAAGCCACTGTAAAGCTGCAGGTCTGATTCATAAGACTGCCTTGAGATAATTCAAGCCTGTTTGGATGCTTCAATCTTTACCATTCAGAGAAGTTCTAGGCTAGGTATAAGGACATTTCCTTTATTATTAGAAACACTTTTTAAAAAATAAGGGTGATTGCACTTACTGAGTATATGTTATATGCTTGGCATTGTTCCATAGGCTTTAATTACATGACCTTATTTAATCCTCTCAATAATCTTCTCAGGTAAGTACTAATAATCTTATTCTGTAAACAAGGAGACTGCAGCTTGGGAGGCTAGGTAACTTGCCCAAGGTCACTCAGCTAATCCAGGTCTTTCTGCATCTAAAACCCATCTTTTTCCCACTTAGCCATGTTGTCACTTCTAGAGATTGCTCTTGGTGTGTTTTGGATGGTAAGGGCATGTTCAGTAAATGAAAGGCTTTTTGCCACCAGGCACTTTTAAATCCTCAAGAACCCTCAGTGCAGATAAAAGAAATTGGGTTCCAGCCGGTTGAGACAGCTAGGGATTGCTTGGAAGAAAGACTGTTCACATCTCCAGAGGAGAGATTCTGAGGCCCAGGAATAAGAAATGTTTTTTTTGTTTTTGTTTTTGTTTTTAATCCATGAAAAATGAAGCTTCACAGCAAACAGGAAGAGAAGTTAAGGTAAAAGAAAATGGTGAATTAACAGGAACCATTTGGTAAGCTCTATTTCAGTGAATAAGTAAGTGCCTCCCTCCTTGGGTCTTTTCTGCCCCCGCCCAGGGCCTGAACCATATTGCCCACATTCTTGAGTTCCCTGTAGTCCTCCCTGGGCTGTTCTTGCCATGAGTTCTGGAGAGGAATAGAAGCCCGCTCACTCCTGACTCCCAGCAAGCAGCCTCCCTCACTGCCCTGCACAGGTTGACCTGCTGTGTCCAGACACTCCTCACAGCTTCACGCAACCGCAGTGCCTTCTTGCCTTCCCCTTGATTTCTCTGAAATTTTAGCTTCTGACAGAGCCCTCATTATGTCCTGCATCCAACCACCTGCTGGAGCCAGGCACAGTGAGGGGCGCTGACCACATTCTGGCTCTAGTGGCAGACTTTGATTGGCCTGAGCCAGATGCAGTGATATCATGTTTTGGACTGGACAAGTTGCTCAGTTCTGGCCGAGGCAACTTGAGAGGTGGTCTGCTGGCGGCATGTAGGCAGGTCTTTCTCACCCCTGGACAGGAGAGCAGGGAAGGCATCGGCCTTTTGTGGCCTCTGCATGTTGCCGTATCTTTGTGTGGCGACAGTAAATGTGGCAGAGCTAGGCGGTGGGCAAAGGCACATACTAAGATGGCAGAGCGGAAGGAAGGAGAGGTTTGTTCCTGGTCCTCAACATGAGTGAGCCAGCTTCTCTCACTGGACCTGAGCCCAGCTGCCTTCTGGACTTCTTCAGTCCAGAAGATAACTATTTTATTACAGCCGAAACCCGTGTTTCAGAGCTTTTGCATGCCAAGGTTGCTGGTCCCTCTTCCCAGTTTTTGATTCATTAGGTCTGGGGTTGGGCTTGAGAATTTGCATTTCTAACAAGTTCCCATTGATCCTGAGGCTACTGTTCCTGGGACTGCACTTTGGTCCATTTGGGAGGAAGACAGTTGAAGTTGGATTTTCTGTTACTTGCAGCTAAAAAAATATATCCTAACTGGTCCAGGTGGTGTCCTCTGAGTTTTCACAGCAAAAGGGAAAAAGAAATACAAGGAAGAAGGAAGGGGGAGGCAAACTAGCTAAAACTGAAGTGAGCCATGGGGTGGGGGGGGGGGGGCTCTCCTTTTATCCCACAACCTCTCCAGTTAATAATAGAGGGAAAGGTTTATCCAAAGCCATTCTACTGGGAGATTGAAGGGTATTGATGTTTCCTAACTCTCTTAGAGAAATAATTTGCTTTCTCCCAAAAGATTTAGATATCAGAGAGGTACAGGACACTTGTCAGACATCTGCTTATTGTCCTCTTTGGGGAATGTCTCTCCCCTGTTTCCACCCATATGGCTACAGTTCACTGCACAGGATGTCCTCACCACCTGCGTCCCCCACTGGGCTATGCTACCCACCACCACCTCCTCCTGCTGACAGAGTTAATTGGTCCAGAAGAGAATGCTTGGAAAAAACAGCAACAGTCTTCCTCCAGGAAATCTAGAATTGGGACTGTTGAAGTATTTGGTGATTCTCAAAGTGGTGGGATTTGAACCATGTAAAACTTGGAGGCAATTGGCAGCTATTCTGAGTCCTGTGGCTGGGGAAACAGAAAACCAGCTTTTAGTAAAAGGGAAAAATATAGCAGAAGTGGAGAGAGAAGACGCCCACAGATTGCACAGGAGTGTTGTAGGGATCAAATAGAATCGTAGCAATGAAAGCCCTTATAGAAGTAAATTGTGGCCAGTAAATATTAATTATTTGGGAGGGGAAAATTATTATAGTAAGAAGTCCTTTTAAAGGTGATAGTAGGCATGCAAGAAGAGATTGTTGGATTACCAAATAAAAGAACTTAGAAATGCCATGCTCCAGGTAGGGGCCACTAGTGAGAATCAACACCCATTACCTGGGTTAGTGGTGTGTAGAAACAGCTTGCCCTAAGAGAGGTTTGAAAATATGTGTGTAGCCGAGAAGGCTTGGTGAAAACTCCAGTTCAGTCATGGTGGCCAGAATGTCTTGTCATGATTCATTGTGAAAGAAAATAACCAAACCAACTGCCCCCCCCCCCACCCCAGCTGGCCGACGTATGGAAAGATCTGGTCCAGTTGGTAAGCTAGTCCTGAGAGTAGAGGACGGTTAGCTAGGTTCTCATAACTCAGTGACAGCAGTCATCGGGGTACTTTATTTCCATGCCATCAAAGAACCTTCTGATATGGCTTTTCAGGTATATTTTCTTACCAGGAAAAATAATGCACTGATCAGGAAACATGTATTTCTGGTTCGCTGGGCAGGTATATTTCTCCTGGTAAAAAGTGAATTGCATGGGGGTTTATGCACCCAACTTCCATGCATCTGTTAGCTTGTTGCAGTCCCCCAGAGCCTAACTCTGGGTTGTATTAGAATTTCTAGACATCTGTGAAGGTGAAGGTCAGGACCTCTTCCCTGAATCTACCAAATAATGACCAATTTAACAGCAAGGCAGCCAGGCTTCCCCTGTGTAATTTCTAAATTGTTTCAGTGTAGCATCTGTAATTACTGTCACTACTGTCCGTCATATGCATTTCATGTTTTCTCTTTCTCTGTCCTCCCTTACCTTTATTATTCCCCTCTCTTCCTCCCTTCCTCCTACCCTTCCCCTATCATTCTTATGCTTTGATGTATCGGTGGTGTTCAGGACGCAAGAAATTGCCCCAGTAATCGCATTGGTTTCATAGGAATGTTTGCGGGACACGGAAGATTAATATCTGTCTATGATTTGGGAAACGAAATATGTCAGTGTATAAATAGACATATACTTATTTACCAGTATAACATAATTATTAATTTTCGTCTTTATCATAGTTATCCAAATACTGAAATTTATTGTAATATGCTAATATTTATCAGCCCATAAACACTACTGTTCATATAGTATGTGTATAAGACCAATATTCTAAAAATAGAAGAAGGAAGTCTTATATTGTCTGTTACCAGACTGGCACTTATCCCTGGTATGAGAAATTGATATTTAAGGTTTTGGAATCTAGTCTAGCACACATCTCTAACTTACTTGAGTCAGACCTGCTTCTAGAGCTGCCCTCTAAGTTGGGGAGTAGTGTCTGAATGGCAAGCTGAACGGCTTTCACTTCATCCTGAGGTTTCATTCTACTCCACTGAATTGAGTGGACATGTTTAGTGCTCTTTGGAGCTCTAACATCACTCTGTAAAAAAAAAAAAAAAAGAGAGAGAGAAACAACGACATGCTGGTGCTTATAAAACAGGAAGAAAAGAACTCAAGTTATTATGTCACTCCCATTTAACTCCTGAGAACACTATTATCATAATGCATTAGGTGAAATATCAGCCTGCCTAAATATGGTAATCTGATTAAAAGGAAAGTGTTTTGTTTGCTTTTAATTTATTTTGAGAGAGCACACGTGTGCATGCACAAGAGCAGGGGACAGGCAGAGAGAGAGGAGAGAGAGAATCTCAAGTAGGCTCCATTGTCTCAGCCCAGAGCCCAATGTGGGGCTTGATCCTACAACCCAGAGATCATAACCTGAACCGAAATCAAGAGTCAGATGCTTAACTGAGCCAACCCAGGCGCTCCTAAAAGGAAAGTTCTGACTACTTTATTCCTTAGTGGATTATAGTAGTTCAAAATGTGGTTGTCATCTCCCAGAATTTATTCTATCTGGCGAATCTCAACTTACCTTTTTGCTTACTAAGGACTGAAAAACAATTTCTTCTGTTTAGAGTACTTGAAGACAGATTTGAATACATAAAAATCTGACCCCTATTTTGCCCACGACTGCCTTTGATCAGCAGGGTAACTGAGTGGGTGTGGGCAGTCTGGTGGATAATTATCCCCATGGAGGGTGCAGGGTAACAGATAGAAAAGTGAGACTGGGTAGGGAGGTAAAAATAAGGACTAGAAAAAGGAGAAGATACCAGATCAAGACACACCACCTTCTCATCCTGAAACCCTTCATGACCGGGTGTCACAAATCAGGCTCAGGAGCCTCTCAGACTTCGATATGGTTATGAAAATATGTTTAAAAAACCCTGCAGTGACAATTACAGACACAAGTAGCACATCATCACAGAGTATAAGGAGAAGGAGGAAGAGGAAGGAGAGAGGAGAAGAAAAGTTACTAAAAAGAAGGCTCTCCTGCATAGTGGGGGCTGGCCAACAGGTTCCACAACAGTCTAGATTCCATGTTTCTCAGGACCAATCAACTGTTCTTATTTAGGTTTTATGTCCTACCAGCAGCACTTTGACAGTTAATGCTATTTCTCAGGCACCTCATCCCTGACAAGCTGTGCTCCCTGGCTGGTGAGGATAAGGAACTATTGTAATACTCATTGGCTTCTGGCATCAGATCACCCTGGATAAGTGGACTAGCCAGGGTATGGATTTCCAATGCTGAATCAGAGCCAATCTGGCGGCTCAGAAGACCATCACAATGCAGCAGTGCATGGAGTCCATTTACAGGCTGACTTCCCTCATCTTACTGCTGGTAAGGGAACAGGTAGGACAGCTGAGGAATAGTGGAAACTGTTTATAGTCTGAGAGCCTGGGTGTGACTCCACCGACCACCCCAGACCTCGGGACCTTGTTCTATCTCTGTGAGCCTGTTTTCCCTATGTTATACAACGTTAATGGGATAAAACAGGTGTAAACTTCTGTTATAGTGCCTGGGTCTTGGTGAATCCTTACCAAATGTTTCCTGAATGAATAATAAAATGAATGAAATGCATGTCCTTTTGATGGCAGATGCATATTAATATAATATCTCCATGGGTCGTGAGACTCTGGGGTCTACTTCTTCCCCTCCCCCCTGTTCCTGCAGGGTTTCTGTACCTTGTAAAGCATTATGTTCCACCAGCCATGTGGATATTGCTGATTTTTTAAAAAAAAGACTTAAATGCTTATTAATTTTTGACCGAGAGACAGAGTGTGAGTGGGGTTAGGGCAGAGAGAGAGGGAGACACAGAATCCAAAGCAGCTCCAGGCTCTGAGACATCATCACAGAGCCCGATGCAGGCTTGAACCTACAGAGCGTGAGATCATGACCTGAGCCAAAGTTGGCCGCTTAACCGACTAAGCTACCCAGGCACCCGAAGATATTGCTGATTTTAAAAACATAATTAGATTATTTTAAGCAATAGACTGCTTAAAACACCCCATTGGCTTCCAATTGTGTTTATAGTAAATCCAAACTCCTCACTGTGGCCCCACGAACTTCTGTGATCCAGCCTGCCCCTTTCGGGAGCTTTGTCATTGTCCTCTCTGCCTCAGGAGCTTGGCCTTGACTCTCCTGTGCTCTTTCTTGCTGCCTCCTCCTCAGAGGAGAGGCCTTCCCTAACTAACCACCCAGTCTCATGGCCCAAGTCTCACTATTTTCTGGTTACCACTTATCACTCTCTGCTTATTGCTTACCTATTTATTATCGATCTCCTCTCATTGGAACCTCAAGAGAGAGTATAGATTTAGTCTGCCCTAATCATAGAAGAGTAACTGTCAGGTATTTGCTAAATATGTGAATTTTAATCTTAGTAGCATATTTTTTAAAGTGTCAGTTTTTCTATTTATCCATATATAAAATATATGTAATCTGTTTTTGAGAATAGACCTCTCTCCCCACCAGGTGACAGTAGAAGTTGTTCTCTGTCCTTGTGAAGAATCGCTGATCTACCCCTAAACTCTAAGCACTAAGAAGGCAGAGCTTTGGTTTGGTCACTGTTTGGTATAACCCCAGTACCTAACATGTTACACAGCATGTAGATGTTCAATCATTAGCTGATGAATGGATGTATTACTGTCTCAATCTTTACCTAGGCAAGAATATCCTGTTCTCTTTCCTTACCAACATTTTGTTAGAGTAATTATGTTAATCTTCCCATATTGATGTTGGTTAAATAATTTCTCTTCCAATTTTAAGCACTGTTGAGGGAGCTAATAAATTCCTACTAAGAAACTGATGGTAAAGCCACCAGCACCCCACCCTTGCCCAACCCCAAGCTTACCTCATATGTGACAGTGCATTCTACAGTCTGATTTTCCATTATTCCTACATTCCACTTCTCCATTACAAAGGGGGGCTGAAAAACAAAAGTTAGGATGGTCTAGTGCCTGCCCTACTATGGCATGGATCTTTGAGTCCAGCTGTGCCATATGCAATTGGCAAATAGGGTATAATGTCAGATTATCATGAAAGTCATGGTGTTGGTTCACGTGTGATTACTCACAACGTGCTAATGTCTTGGATGTTAGTTTTCATAAGACCTCTTTTTCTGTAATTGTAAACATCTAGTCTTAGTCCCACGATCTTCTCTTTTCTGATATACTACTCAACCCTATCATTAGGTCATTCATTATTCATGCTAATATTTTGAAGCCTCAGTAGAAAGCTTTCTGATAATTAAGAGAAAGACTTAACGATACAGACTTAGAAGTGCCTTCTTTGAATGCAAGCAATGGCTGGGTTAGTAGTTTCAACAACTACTCTGCTTTTCACTGTATCAGGCTATCCAGCAAGGCTGTGCATGCAAAGGCTGCTTTGTGGCAACATTTCCCCACAGTATTAAATGAAAGGATTAATGAAGAAGCCTATGCCTTTCACAAGGAGACTATGTCACCCCAAAACATAGCACTTTGGCAGGTGTATTGTATTTTTAGCTGAAGACCATCAAAACCCAGAAGACTCAAGAAAAACTTTTACCTCTCCCATAACTGCCTGAAAGAATTTAGATAGGGCACCTGGCCCAGAAAGAGCGCTTTTATCAGAGATACTTTTTTTTTTTTTTTTTTTATCTGAAAGACCTATCTGCATGGCAGGGCAAGCTTCTAACTACCAAACATCTGCTCTTGTTATCTTCCTGTGAATTGCCTTCCCCTCTTTGAAGCCCCAGGCCCCTGGCTCATTCCTTAGCTGAAGACAGCATATATTAGCCTCAGCTTCCTGACTTGCCCGTAAGTCTTTGGGGCTCCTGTATGTACAAAATTAAATTCTTCTCCTGTTAATCTGTCTTATGTTAATTTAATTATTAGACCAGCCCAAGAACTTAGAAGGGCAGAAGGAAACTTTTTCACCCTGACACCTTGGATCCCATTTTAATTTTGATGAAAATGGTTTTTATTATAAGTGAATCTCCACTCTTTTAACCACCCTCCACCCCTTCATTCTATACTTAAGGCTACAAATGACTGGCCTTGAGATGGGTACAAAGCACATGTGGTAGAGATTTAACTGGGTTCTTTTTTTTTCCTTTTCTCTTTTTTTAATTAGTATTGTTATGATCCTGTTGATGTTAAAAGTTCTACAGATTTTGAATGGTCTCCCTCAATCCTGTTTTTCCTATAGCCCCCAGTTAATGTTGGTGTGTGATTTTGCACAAGATGTGGTTCTTTGGGAGTGCATATGTGGCATTATACCAGAAACACCTGTATTTGGCTTTAGAGCTGTACCCTGTCATTTTTGCTGTGAGTGGCTTCCTTCTGTTAGCAGGCAAGGACTTGGATCTTGCTTCTAAATGGCATAGGTTGGGGGGAAGGAGCAAGGATCTGTCCAGCCTTTAAGACATCAAAACATCATGTCCCAACAAAATAAAGGAAAGTTAAAACCAGATCATAACCTTTACAGATAAATAACACCGTTGAAATGACTCCCAGTTACTCAGAAGATTCCAACAATGAATATCACATCAATCGACTTGATGAATACACTTGTAAATTAAAAGGACTTGGATGTTTAGCAATCTTATGCCTGGGAAGGGAACACATTTGCAAGTCTAATGCTGTGGCTTTGAAGACTCTTCACTTCCCCACTTGTGTTTGTACCCAGGTTCTTCTCTTCTACCCACCCCACTTTCTTCACTGTAACCAAATATACAGTTCATCACGTACTAAAGAGTGGCTTATGTGAAGTTTCAAGTGATGGTCTGATGGATAGCATGGTTATTCACCCAAGTTGTTGACTTTCTCCTGTTGAAGTCTCAAATGTATTTTTTCAGATTTATTGGGACAGAACTGAATTTTTTTCCATTTTGAGGAGAAGCTAAGCATTTCTCTCGATCTGTCTTTTGTGTTGTAAAGGGCATGCTTCTACCACTGACCCTGAAGTAGTGAGGCGTTCTCTGGCCGGAGGTGTGAACTCTAGGAAGCTATGAAGACATCAACAGGTGCCTCCTGAATAACCTTGCCTCAGTTCTCCAAGAAAGCCTTCCTCCGCACAAGTTTTTCAAAGTTTAAAAAATGACCTCAAATTTGAGGTAAATATTTTCACCATTGGCATTTTCTTTCCTTTAACAAATGACAGAGTAAGCATAAAGAAATAGAGAAGAAAATAAAAAAAAATTTAAACGACACTTTCTTGTAGTACTTTTTAGTTCACACAGCCTAAGTGGAATTTTAACAAAAAACTATTATGATCTCAATCGGCTAAATAAAATGTGCCTTTCAACAGGCAGCTTGAGGCTGAGCTTACGTGAACATCGACAAGCACAAAAGCACACTGCTGGGGGATTTTAATGTCTTTGTTTGATATCTGTGAATTCAAAAAAGCTTTTAAGCCGTAAATAGAACCCTACCTTTGTCATCTTTAAAATCTCTGCATCAGGTAGGTTAGTGTTGAATGTCACATCTTTGATGTAGGTTATTGCAATTTCATCCCCATCCATCTCCATATACATTTTCCACTTACAATCCTAGAATTAAAAGCAAAATTATAGAATTTCAGAGAGTGAAACAATTTTTCTAGTCCCAATGTTTTATAACACATGAAGTTTCCTAAATGAAATATTGAGGTAATTTTTTTTTCCTTTTTTGAAAAAAGGACATGAAATTAGATCTCTTTATATATTTAAACAACCCCCAGTTAGTGCAGTCTTGAGACATAATTTATCAGTGTAAATGTTCTATTGTTATAGGAGTTGCAAACTCAAAATCCTAAAGGGACCAGGCATTTAATAATGAAAATGAGTAAAGCCAGGCAGTTTCATTATAGAGCCCTAAATTGTCATCTTTCAAAATAGACCCACTTAATTTACATATTAAACATTGTAGGAATATTTTTTTATTCGTACAAAGAAATGTGGACTTCCCATTTTGAAATACAAGGCCCTTTTGATTTAACTTTCACTTTGCCAGTGTTGATAATAATATGGGCTCAAGAAATAGCTCACTTTCCTCTTAACAGGAGGGAACCCTGCAAATGTGATGTATGGCAACTGATAACTGGCTCATGTGTTGGGGAGTTACGGGAGGGTTAGGACTCTGGGGGTCTAAAGGGCAGCTGCCCTAAAGGGACAGCCATCACTCAGCTTCTGTTGCTTGTCCCCATGTGGGAATATGACCTCAGTCTTGCTAGGTCCTTTAATGTTTCCCAAAAAGCTGGATATCTGGATTCTTATGTGAAACCTCTCGATTTTTAAAAATGATGTCACGTTAATTAAATTTTCAGTAAAACCACCATGTAATGAAAAAGGGCTCTATATCATTAGTCACCAGGGATGTAAATTAAAATGTCCCCACAATGAGATACCACTATATGCCCACCAAATGGCTAAGATGGATAACATCCAATGTTGGCCAGGATTTTGAGCTACTGGATTGCTGGTGGAAGTGTAAATGGTACAATCGCTCTGGGGAAGGCTTTGGCAATTTATTATAAACATATATCCATACGTATAAACATACATCTATTTGATGACTCAGAAATTCAACTCCTAGGTATTTTCCCGAGAGGAATGAAAAAAGACTTGTACAGTGTTGCTCTGAGTAGCTTTATCATAATAGCCAAAAAACAAAAAAAAACAAAAAACCCAAAAAACAAAACTAAAAGCTCCCTAGAAACAGGCCAAGTGTTCATTAGGAGAATGAGTTAAGTGTCATATATTCGCAGAATGGAATGTTACTCAGCAACACAAAAGGAGCAGATCATTGACACATGCAACAAGATGGATAAAATCTCAGAACCATTACAGTGAGTGAAAGAAGTCTTATACAAAAAAAAAAAGAACATACTAAGGATTCCGTTTATGTGACATTCTAGAACAGATAAAACCAATCTGCAGTGGAAAAATTTCAGAAAAGGTTGGTTCTGCAGATGGGGATTGACTGGTAAGGGGCATGGTGAGACTTTATGGGGGGCTAATACTCTGTTCACAGGGGTTTGAGTCATGTAGGCATATGCATTTGTCAAAATTCAGCGAATGTATACTTAAGATGTGTGCATTTCTTCTTGAACTCTAGCGTACTGAGATATTTAAGAGGAAGTGTATTGGTGTCTGCAAATGACTTTGACTTGCATCAAAAAAATGAAGATTGGTATATGGCTAGAGTGATAGATGGACATCTATGTGATAAGGCAAGTAGAATGAAATGCTAATGGTTGCATTTAGCGGGTAGGGGAGGATTCATTATAAATACTTTTTTTAACTTGGCTGTATGAATAATAATAAAAATGTTGGCAGATAAACACTGTGTGTGCAATGAAAAGGAGAAATACGCCATGTCTTTGCACCAGATTTGACCCCTGAACCATAAATTCACCTTCTCTTTTACGTTACTTGAAGAATGAAGGATTCTGAGAGGTTAAGGATAATGTAGTGAGCACCTTACATGCTGAAACTAGAAAATGCTCTCATAGGAGTAGACCTGGAATGTCTCCTGAGCAAGCTCAGACAAAATTATTATGGAAAAGCACTAACAAAGAGGCTGTTGAAAACCTGTTGGCTTCAGCAGAAAGCTGGGGGAGCCCTTTGTTTTAGGAAAACTTCTAGATAAATTGCACAACCAAGCAGGCCACGTGCCTGAGGGGAGTGACCCTCTTTGCCCAACCACATTCACAAGATGGAGAGCCAATTAGTGAAGGAAAAGTCTATTCAATAATGTGAAAACCCAGTTTTCGGTTAACAGAAGTCAGATCAGTCACTCAGAATGGACAGATCTCTCAGTATTGCTCTGTTTTGGAGCTGCTCCCTGGGCAGCGGGAGCCCTGAGGTAACTGGGCAGCATAATGACTATTTGAAGTCATGACTGCACTTCTCTAACATGGCAAGAGCCTCCTCAAGCAGTGGCTGGAATAAAAAGCCTTAGGAAAGATGAGGTGACTTAGTTCTGTTTCTTTTGCCTGTCCAGTTTTGGAACGAAGTTAGCCAAATACAGATGAAAGACCTCAGGCTGTGTGTAAATGCCCGAGGCCCTCGGCTCTCCCACCTCACAGCCTGAGAACTCTCCTTGACCTCAGGCCTGCCATAGACCGGCCTGTGCACGCGCTCAGAGGAGCTCTCTGTTGAGAAGGTGTTGCTGACAGGTGGGAACTCACATTGCTGGAGTGCTTAATCTGCTCCAGGCATGCTGCTGGGTACTTTGTGCTATTTTTGTTTGAGATCCACAGTAACCCTGCAAGTTAGGTTTATTTTCCCATTAGGTGAGAAAAATGAGGCTCAGGTAAATAAAGGAATTTTCCTAGGGCCTCCTGGTCATTAAGTGGTAGAGGTGGGATTATAATAGCACAAGGCTGCCTGGCTCCAGAGTTGGAGAAGCTGCCGATAGGGAAGGGCAATTGGGAGAGGTGGCAGAATGTACTCACTGGGCGGTTGTCAGAGCTCCACAATGGGCCCAGCTACTGACAACAGGCAAGTTGGGGGAAGGACCAGGGAAGATTTTGCTAATACAACTGAAAAAGCAAGTGGCCGCAGGTCCTCTCCTGCAGCAACTGCTTCCCTGTTCCCCAGAATTCAACTTGGAAAAACAAGGGTCCCCATAATAGGGTTATAGACCTTTTTACTTTTCAAATTCTTTCTCTTATCTGAAAGAAAGGCTTTTGCCTGAACCATAAAAGATAGCGACAGAAGCAATAAAACTATACTCAAAGGCACTGTAAGACAAGGGGGGCATTATCCATGTCATTAAATTACAAACCTGGGTGGGAAAGAAAATATGCAGTGTTCACTTCAATTATTAACTTAATCTGTCAGTGCCCTGACATAATGCTAGATTTTTTTTTGGGGGGGGGCATCTGTGATTTCACTGTTGCCTAGTTAAGAAAAGTAACCCTCAAATCAAGTCATGGAATTCTTTAAATTCTGCTCAATTTCCTATTACCCGCAGGTATTCTCTGCATTTTTGCTACACAGCGAGTCATTAAGTTGTCAATGAATTGCATTGCTCACAACTACCAGGATTTAAACAAAGTATTGAATTCTACAGGACCCAACAGAGACAGGATGCCATGTGATGAGTTCTTGACCAATCGATCACTGAAAAGGTTTTCATAGCAGTAACATGAATTAAATCATCAAGAACATCACTAAAAGTAACAACATATTTATGAGCCTAATATAGGATCTTACGTGCAAAATTGCTGCCTTTTCAGTTTCTTGGTAGTGGTAGGAACCAGGTAGTGGGAATGTGGGCTCAGATGTAAAAGCCATTCACTTTTACCAGGGTGAACTATTGATTTGGGCTTGCTGTGAGTGACAGAAATGTGGGTATTGATTTATGAATCGGAAACATTCAAGAGTCACTTTGGACATCTTGTGAACAACTCGCAGTCCTGACAGGCAGAAATCAAAAGCAGACAGCTCTGTATTCTGAGAGCCTTTGGGGGCCCGAAAGGACTTCTTTCCCAAAACCATTTCACCCCTGGCAGTCTGAAATGGCCCTGTTACTCATTTGGTTTAAAGGGTTGATGGTGATGATTAAGATAGAAATAATATAGAGAAAGAGTCTACATTAAGCCATGACTGGGGGAGTAGCAGGGAATGAGATGAAAGATGACAGCTGAAAGTCCAGCTCCCGGAGCTTGAATTCCATTTCTGTCACTTTCCCCCCAATCTTAGCCAACTTATATAACCTGTTTGGACCTTGGTGTTTCTATTCACAAGTATGTTGAATGAGGATTAAATGAGATAATGTAAATAAAGTGCCCAGCACAGTGCCAGAGCCAAATAAGGAGCTTGGAAAGGAGCAATTGCAATTATCATGACCAACATTAGTCACCAACACAGCTCCAATTAGTTTATTAGACTAGCCACCCCACCATCTAGCAGCGATCTAAGGGAATGGGCCAGAACTTGAGTAAGCTTTGACAGGCGAGAAGGTACAGAGTGTTTAGACAAGGGCTCTGGCCAGAGTAGGCAGGTGCGGTCAGAGCATCTTACTTGGGTACCCAGAGGGCACCAAAGTCTGGTATCAGTGTTGGAAAAAAAAAAAAAGATGTAGACAGTGGCACCGTAACAATGACTGGTCTTATGAAATAAACAGAAGAAGGAATAAACTTGTATCTTCTCACATAGATGGATTATAGAACACCAATTCTGCCCCTTGCTGCTTCAGCAGGTCCTAATGCGACCCTACCAATAGGAACCATCGGATGTCTGGAGGACGGTGGCTATGAAATGGGATTGACAGCCTGAGAGCCTTATCTTGATGAGGAAACTGAAGCATAGAGAGATGGGGAAATCTGACCAAGATCTCACAGACAGAAGGAGATGGAGCTCGGAACTGATCTAAGGTAGTCTCTTGGTGCTATGAGGAGCAGGTCTCCAAATCCTCAGTCTTTTCTCAATCTGGAACTTTTCCTTGTTGTGGGTTAAACAGAAGTAAGAATTACAGTGCAGGAGAGTTCCATCTTCCAGAGTCAACAAACAGTCAAGATTATGTTGGTGAATTTCTTTATAAGTCTCCATGGCAGAAACTG